CACATTCAGCGATTCATTTTTATATTGTAGACTTGAATCAATAAAGACTTGAATCAATAATAGAAAGATATCAATATGAATATTACTCTACTTCTAATAATAATCAACGACACTCTTGTTTTATAATTAGTAAGTAGTTGAACTATATTAACAGTTTGAAAATTACAATTTTAGTATGTATAGTCCTCGTTATACATACATTAAAACGTAACTTGAAATTTTTTCTCATTTCACGTAAATAGAAAGCCCTTTGAATTTTTTTTTGAATAAAAGTATATGAATTATCTAATTCTTTTTATTTACAGTGAACATTTACTGCTAAATTGCTTGAGGCAATAATACCAATGGGAATTCATTTTAAGGTATTATTCTTAATAACAAAATAGAAGGTTGAAGACAAACTAATTTAAAACCGCCTTCGGATAATTTAATATAAGAATTCTAAAATATATCTGTACTCTGTAGTATAATAATATGTAGATTCATTTATTTTTTGTAGGTTATTCGTACGTACGACTGCTTTAAAAAGAAATTATATCATATTATACTAGCATTGCCCGCGGCTCCGCCCGCGATCAGATGACCAAAAACCAAATTCTTAGGTTTTACATATTAGTATACTCTTATATTTTTGTATTTTTTCTCAGAAAAGAGACATTTTCCCGCGATAAAAAGTATCCTATATATTGACCCGGATAACCAGCTATCACCATACCAAATTTCATCAAAATCCCTCCAATGGTTTTTCTGTGATGACAACAGACAGACAGACAGACAGACAGACAAAAATTCTAAAAACTATAGATTCAGCCTCTGTATCGATAATAATGTTTATTTCCATAAGATTTTCAAAAAAAATATTTCATGTACAGATTCGGCTTAGTTACAATTTTATTATATGTATAGATAGATGATAACTGAAGGTTCTTTAGGAAAGATCGTCTAAAATTATTATCTTTCTCTTTTTTTCTTCTTTTAATAACCTTCATACAAAATCACTTTAAAAGAATTTTTCTACACTTAAAAGATTAATTTCTTCTTGAAAATTTGAGACATCTTCATATTACCTATGGATTAAAAATAATCATCAAAATCAAAATGTTAAAGTTAGTGAAGATATGGTGTAACATATGTACATACAAAAAGTCAAATACTGTAATAAAATGTTTCTTTTTTTTGAAGGCGAACAATTAAGTCAATAAATATGTATCCATTTTAATAATACTCGGCCATAATCATTATGAAAAGCTTGACGAAAGCATATATGAATTTTTAAAACTTATTTAATTGATAACACTTAAAGCTCGTCGATTGCTACTAAACAAAAAAATATTAAAAAAAAGGAGAAATAGGTTTTGTATTTTGTCTTTTCCTATTTATATATATACTAGCAGAACCCGCGGCTTCGCTCGCGCTAAAACTAAAAAATATCTCTACAAAGGTAGGTTTTATACAAACTTTTTTTCTTTATTTTACCCTCTTGTAGGATGAATTTCGAAAGATACTAAGACACGTATTTATTAATTTGTGCTGTGTGAGTACCGACAGCAAATAACACAATTTACTGGTACGAGGAATTGCAAAAACTTAAAGTACCTATACGTCCAATACAGAAGTTCGAGTCCGCTGATTGAATGAGGGCTCATAACAGAAATGTCTCTTATCTTGGAAATTCATACGACTTTACTAAACGATTTACTAAATAACGTACTACTACAGTAATATTTAACTCTTTAGAAAATTTGTTTAACGTAACTTGCATAGGTTATATATGTATAAATCCTCCGTTTGAAATGGTTAAAACGTGATGCTAGGTGATTTATAGCCCCAATAAATTGGTTAAAAAATGCTAAAAGATTTTTTGAAATATCAGTTCTAGTTCCAGAGATTAAAGTATTTAAACACACAAAAAAAACAAACTCTTTACCTATATATTAGTACAGATAAATAAACATTTCAAATATTTTAATCATTAAATGTAATTGAAAACATCAGTAAAGGCATTGAAAATTAAATAGATTTCGCTTTATATTGGTCTATTAAAGTGATTCCCGTTATCTTCTATACATATTATAAAATTCTGAGTTGAATCTGTACGTAATGCTCTGCCTATATGTAATATTTTTTGGAAAATTTTATTGAAATAGTCATTATTAATATCGATACACAGGCCAAATTTAAGTATAGTTTTAGAATTTTGAAATGAAATGAAATAAAATTTATTCAATTAGACTTATTAAAGTACTTTTGAATCGTCAATTCAATGAAAGCGTCAGTGTTGTCAGTCCGTGAGGAAGCTATCACCGGCTGAGAAGAGCCGGTGAGAAACTCAATAGTTCCTTGTTTTTTTAGAATGTTTGTCTGCCTGTCTGTCTATCTGTCTGGGAAGTGATTACGAGAAAAACACCGAACAGATTTTGATGAAATTTGGTATGATGATAGCTGATTATCCGGGTCATATCTGGATATATAGAGATAAATCTCAGAGAAATCTATACTAAACGTTAAAACGTAAACGCGGAGCGAGTATGAGTTGCTAGTATAGTATAAATCAATTAAAGTCAAGAAACAAAAGCAAGCAAAGGCTACTTTTCAACCGACTTCAAAAAGGAGGAGGTTCTCAATTCGACTGTATGTTTTTTTTTTTTTTTTTATGTTTGTTACCTCAGAACTCCGTCATTTATTAACCGATTTGGACAATTTTTGTTTTGTTTGAAAGGGTATACTTCCAGATTGGTCCCATTTAAATTTCAAAAAAAAATACCACCCCTAAGGGTGGAAAAACAACTAATGATGAATTTAACCTACTTCTAATTGTCATATTGACTTGAAACTTTGCAAGTATTTCTATTTCCGTTGATAGTACAGTGATTCGGTGTTGTTGACCTGATCTGATGGCAAGGCCAGAAGGTGGATAGGTGGAATTCTTCAACGGCTAATAGTAGATACTTTGAGTTTGGGCTTATTTTGTTTGATTTGACAAGCCTAACACGTTAGAATCCTTACTTTGCTACTACTGTCTACACTAAAAAGGGAAAAATAAAAACTTTTTAACAAAAAAATAAAAACCGACTTCAAACAAAAGCACTAAAAAGTAAAAAATAACTGATTGGTAGTTTTCATTTACTATACATACCTAATCAAATATATTCGAAGTCGGTGTGCTTTGGCTAAGTAATTAAAGCCTACCTATTAAATACATACCTAATCAAATATTTTCGAAATCGGTGCCAGCCCATATAAAGTAAAGCACACCGACTTCGAATATATTTGATTAGGTATGTATAGTAAATGAAAACTACCAATCAGTTATTTTTTACTTTTTAGTGCTTTTGTTTGAAGTCGGTTTTTATTTTTTTGTTAAAAAGTTTTTATTGTTGAATTGGAGCAAGGAACGATAGATAGTATACATTCGAATAAAATGGCGTGGAAATTTTTCAAAAGCTTCAAATTGAATCGCTAACCTTGTGTATTTAATTACCATAAAGTTTAATTTGTAACCTGGAGACCAGAACTTCTACCGATTCGAAAATCGATTAAGCTATTATTCCTCGTTTCATTTAATTTATTCTACGGTTGAATTAAATGGTCTTTTAGAGCTTTTTGCTGTTTAGATAACTTTGTCTATTTCCTCAGGGAGCATAGTAAAAAATAAGGCCTTCCAAAATATAAATAAGAATAATTTTTAGTATATTATTTACGCTTAGTTTCTATAAGGTCAAATTAAAAAGAATGCTTCTATATTAGATGCTTTTTACAATGCACAATATTTTGGTTTTAACTTCATTATTAAAATATGTAAAATA